ATTCATTCATGAATTTCGGGTTGAAATCATACTAGTCAGAAAAAGTGTAATCTATACTAGCTCTTCTATAAGTGTAATCTATACTAGCTCTTCTATCGAGCTCTTCGATGGAATAGTTTTTCAACAAATGCTCTACCCTTCGATTTTTTGTTCTCCGTGAAGCTTCGCAAAATTCTTCTTTAGAAGGTCTTCCCCGTTCAGCACATTTATCCTTATTTCCATTGGAATCCGGAAGGGAAAGGAATGTCCAATTTAGCCATTTAGAATATGTTTTTTCAAAAGCGCTTCTTTTGCGGCCACTATAATTCCACTTATTTTTCATCTCACTATTAAAAAGTTTTATTTTTTGATTCAAAAGTGCTTTGTCGCATTTAGCGTGTATTAATTTGTCTTCAAAAAATGCAGATAATGCAGACACTCTATCTGATGGACGAGTAGAAATCCAGATATCAGCTAAAATTGAGTTTTTTATAATTGAATTCATATTAATATTAGTTTTTTCACTATTTTACGTTTCACTACACAGCACAGAACACTACCGCGTGTGTCTACAGTAATAAACTTTACTATTTTTACAGAATGTTTTGGCATTTAAGTAATGGAAAATACTGTGGTAACTGTAATCAGTGAAATTTTTTTTTTGCAAAAGTTTATTTTATAACCTTAAAAAAAACGATTTTGTTCGAAAAGCGCAATGAGTCTGCAGACTTTTTTTTTTATTTCAAAGAAAAATTTCCTTTCTTTCAAATAAAAGGATAAAAAAAACATACTTTTACATATATTTTTTTTATCCCTTTGTAAACTTAGGAATTTTTTAAATTTTCTGCAACAAATTCTAGGGTGTAGCAAATAGGCCATTCCAGCCAGGAAACTCAATATTTGTTAAAAAGCTCTATAGAGTGGTTTCCTTACAGATTTTCTAATTAGAAAAATTGTGTCTTAAGATAAAGTATGATAAATTGTATTTTTAGCAATTTTTTTTTAAAGACTCCAGCTAAAGGCATTTTCATAAAAGAAAAAATATATAAAAAACACACAACTTTAAGAGGTTTTTGTGAGAACCTTATGAGATAAAAACAAAAACTAAGTCCAGATCCTTAATCGAGGATAAATTTCCTTTCCAACGATACCAAACACGTTGACATACGTGACAACAATTTTTTTGATTTTTGCCCGCTCATACAGCACTGTGTGCCGTGGGAAATCCGAATTACCCTTTACAACATGAAAGGCTAGCTAACGACGCGCCGCCACAGGTAAAATTATTGCCTACCATATGGCATTTTGGTTGCCAGATATGTATCAGTTTTATCAGTGGCAATATTTGTGTGTGGGGATTTTTCATCCTGATAAAAGTATTTGTGCGCAAATATGCTTAAAAAATTAAAAAGGGTATTACTTTACACCCACGTACATAATCAAAATAAACACAGGCCCAGAGGCGGATCCAGACTTTTTGTGGCGGGTGTTTTCCGGGAAAAATTTCCACTTATTCTTTTTACTCTAAATGAGTAATTCTTGTATATTTATATATATGCATATATAAGGCTGATCCAAAATAACTAACCCAGCGAAATTATGGCCTTGAAATTACCTATTTACTGAGAAGTAAATTCTTCCATTTGGACAAATTTTCATTTAAATTATTAAAGGTGTCGTTGGGAACTTGAAATTTTCCAGGTAACTAACATATAAAAAAGTTTTTTTTTTTAAATTAAAAATGATATACATTTTGAACCGTTGAGTTTTTGAATTTTCAATGCGGAGTATTTGTCCTCCTGGAATGTTAAAAAATTCTGGTCACCTTAAGCAAAGGTGTCTGGACAAACAAGAAAGCAAGTTGATAAAAGCGTGGCAATAGATAATTGCGTCTCTGTCATGCTGTTTACAGAACTTTGTTTTCTGTGTGCAACTCAAACCGACCGCCGTGCTCATATATTCTACGGTACTCTTGGGTTCCGCTGAACCCACTTCAGGAAGCTCTGGTCTAAAACTTTGTTTGGTGGCTTCGAGAGGTTCTTCAACAGAGCTTTAACGTATTAGTGATGATGAATTATAAAATGAAGCATGGAAGATTCCTGTCCTATTTTCGTACTGTTAAACAGATTTTGCGTGATGTGAAATGTGTAACAAAATGTTTGTACAACGTACATATTAATTTCTAGGTACATTCGCCAGCTTTTAGGTATAAATTTTTCCCAATTTGAAGATTTGATTTTCCATCTGCGGCTCATATTACTACTTAAGCTTGTGCATACATATCGTCGTTTAAAGTGAAAAACCGCGTATCAACAAAATGCAAAACAGCGTATGTGTAGTTGTGGAAATTATTTTCTAGAGCGTAAAAACACTGCCATGTAAAGGAGCGCAAATTCGGAGTAGGATTTGTGGTGGGAGAGAGACTCCTTCGCCGAGTACTGTCGTTCACCCCGCTGGACGAGCGTCTGGCCACAATCCGCATCAAAGCGAGATTCTTCAACATCTCGCTCATCTGCGCGCATGCCCCGATGGAAGAGAAGGATGAGGCATCCAAGGATCTCTTCTATGAGCGCTTGGAGCGCACGTACGAGCGCTGCCCCCGTCATGATATCAAAATCGTGCTTGGCGACTTCAATGCCAGGTTGGGCAAGGAAGGGATCTTTGGAACCACCGTTGGAAGATTCAGCCTCCACGACGAAACGCCCGACAACGGATTGAGGCTGATCGACTTCGCCGGGGCCCGAAACATGGTAGTATGCTGTACTAGATTCAAGCATAAAATGATCCATCAAGCTACGCGGCTGTCTCCGCATCAAAGAACGAGAAACCAAATCGATCATGTTGTGATAGACGGAAGGCACGCTTCCAGTGTTTTAGACCTACGCACACTCCGAGGCCCAAAAATCGACTCGGACCATTATCTTGTTGCAGCCAAGATACGAACCCGCCTCTGTGCAGCAAAAAACGTGCGCCGAAATATGCAAGGAAAGCTTAACGTCGAAAATCTGCAATCACAACAGACAGCCAGCGCTTTCGCTATTCGACTCTCACACCTGCTCTCAGAGAGCACTCTTCAACAAACCGACATATGCGAGCAGTGGAACCACATTTCCCGCTCATTAAGTACCGCCGCCGAAGAAGTAGTCGGATTTCAGCGAGCCCGTGAGAACAACTGGTACGATGAGGAGTGTAAGGAAGCTGCAGAGAAAAAATATGCCTTCTACAGGGCCACGCTTCGATCGGGCGCAACGCGCGCTATGTGGGACCGCTATAGGGATCTAAAGAGAGAAGCGAGACGTATTTGCCGCAATAAGAAGAGAGAGGCCGAAATACGTGAGTGCGAAGAGCTTGAAATGCTGGCCGACAGGAAGAATGCCCGAAAATTTTATCAGAGAATTAGGCGACTTACGGAAGGTTTAAAGAACAATAATGGCGACCTAGTAACTGATGTCCAGAGCGTACTTAAATTATGGAGGGAACACTTTTCCGCCCTACTAAATGGTAGCAGCACGGGAGGTTGTGGAGAAGAAGAACCCGAGCCCGCAGTCGATGATGACGGAGTCGACGTTCCACCGCCTGACTGAGGAGGTACGTATATCAATAACGCGGCTGAAAAACAACAAGGCCGCTGGAGCTGACAGCCTGCCAGCTGAGCTATTCAAGTACGGCGGCGAGGAGTTGATAAGGTGCATGCATCAACTCTTGTGCAGAATATGCTCAGATGAACGCATGCCCGACGACTGGAATTTAAGTGTGCTCTGCCCAATCCACAAGAAAGGTGACCCCGCCATTCGCGCCAACTACCGCGGGATCAGCCTTCTAAGCATAGGTTACAAGATCTTATCGAGCGTATTGTGTGAAAGACTGAATCCCACCGTCAATGAACTGATTGGGCCTTATCAGTGTGGCTTTAGACCTGGAAAATCCACCACAGACCAGGTATTCACAATACGCCAAATCTTGGAAAAGACCCGCGAGAAAAGGATCGACAC